AATTTCCCAGCTCTTTTTGCCCTTGGGGGAGCCACATAAAAAAAAAAAAAAAAAAAATCTGCCAAGAAAGCCTTTATACCTCAGTTTCCCCACATCTACAAAAACAATAAATAAAGAAGAGTGATCTCATTTGTGCCTGGAAGCATGTTGAGATGATTTTGTGGAAGATGCTAACGAAGTGCCATGCATTATTATTGCATTAGGCTGACTGTACTTGTGAAATCCATCTGACATTTCCCACTTGACATTGATTGTGGGTGGTAACATTTCTGTATTAATTTTAAAGAGGATGCATTATGGCACTGCCTGTTGTATAATCACACGGTTTATGATTAAAGCATTTTCTAAGGCAGGCAGTAACCTGTGAGATCCTCTCTCTTTTGCACTTCGTTAAACTACTGCATTACGAAGTGTATTGTTTCATTATGGATCCTGCCAAGCAGCTCTACTGTGTTCCTTATAGCTACGTGTGAAGTATCGAGGTGAAGTTCATAACTATATTTGGGTATCAGAGTTTATTTCCTCTACTCTCTTGAAGGTTAGCATGACGAGCGGTTGAGGAATGCTAGGGGAAACCGTCGTTAACATGAGCAGGCTGTGCCCGAGCTCAGATTGCCCCGCTGAATCCTGTTTCGTGTTGCAAGCAGTGAAATCACCAGGCGCCGGGATGGGGCTCGGACCACACAGACACAGGATCGGGTCTGTTCCATTATCGTGTTGCTGAGCCTGGTCCTCCACGTCACAGATAACAGTGGCTCTCCCGTACGTTGTCAGCCGTCAGAGCCTAGCGTTGAAGTCAAATACTCCCCGGTCAGACGTGCCTGTAAAGCAGGGTGGTAGGAGAGGAAGCTTGGAGAGGAAATGAGTAAGTCAGCAGCCCGGCCCAGCGTGTAGCTGTAAGGCCGGGTTACTGGAGCAAGCAGTGGAGCGGGGAGGAAGTGTTGCAACGACTAAGCCTGGTGTGTGTGTTCTTCTCTGAAACAGTCTCATCATAGAAAAATCTAAGATAAGAGGATTTTTGGGAAACGTTACTGCACAATTAGTGCAAGACAAAATGATCTATTGCTAGTTCTGAAAAGAGGGGGAGAATGCACAGGTCCTCCTTAGAGGTGCGTAGCACCCAATGAAAGGGGAGCATCCATAAAAAGCAGACTGCTGCATGAAGTTACTGATTCTTTTGTCTTCAGTTCTGCTTGACTTTTCTATCCTTTGCAAACTGAGTATTGTCAATGATGATGCACACTGGAGCTTTATGTTTTCCAAGGGATTTAAGACAAAATTTCTAAGAGGTGCATAGTTACATTGATACTTAAAAACTGTGGAGGGGGGGATTCTCTATTTCTTATGACATTTGCATCAGAGAATTTCATCTAAAAAGAATATAGTCGCATGTGTACATTCTTATAATTTCATGTGTATATCTACATGCTTTTCATTTTTTACAACTGACTCCTGAGCAGTTGGGTCCCTGGAAGAACGAGATGAATGAGAAGGGCATCCTATGGGGAAGGGGGGAAACAGAAGCAAGTGGTGATCCCTACAGAAAGAGAGGAAATTAAATGTGACATTCCATTGCCAACTGGGTGTTGATTTGCTATATTATCTCTGTCGACAATTCTTTGCCTTTCTGATTTTTTTTAGAATACTTCTGAAGTGAAAAAACTCCTCTTTTACCACTCCTTCCTCACAATATTTTTTTTTCTACTGTTGCATGACTGTCAAAATATTGACCACCAGTAGAGTTTTGGTATGATGTGGATTATCAACCTTTCTTTACAAAACACTGCTTACATTCTTTATGCTTGTCACTTAAATTAATGAGAAAAGAAAATTATGAAGGGGGTGGATGGCTGGGTGAACTCCATTCTTTGAATGCTAGATACTTGCAAAGCAGCTGCTAGAGTGAAATTTCCCTGGCTGCTTAGTGAGAGGATAGTTCAAATTGTAGTCAAAATTAGGATTGGTACACCAGATTATGTGTGGGTGTGACAAATGGAAAAGGAAATGCTTGGTAAAGTATTTTTATTTGTAACGTGAAACTAACCTAAAATAATATTAGTGGGTATTAAATTCTGTATGTTCCAGTGGATCAGTTTCATTGGAATACAGAAAATAGTTCTGCTTATAGTAATAGCTCAAAGAATATTTCTGAGACATTACTTTAGAAGAATGACTGAAGTTGAAATACTAGTAGTGGGGAACACATGATGCTATGGGTGTGGCATGCGTCTTTTATCATCCTGATTTCATATTGTTCTAAATATGTGTTTGTACAATCTTTAGAGACTCCACATTAGCATTCATTATATATGGTTATACAGTTGAAGAAACACTTTCTTAGCTACAGTTGGCTTTAAAAAATACTTAATGGATCCTTTCATGTCACTCACCTGTAATAGCAAAAAAAAAAATATCAGTCAATGAAAACACAGGTGACTGAAGCAGACTTCTGGGTGCAGCAGGGAAATTTAGGGCCCCATCTAACAGCAGCACCCTTTGGCTATGGGAGAGCTGAATCTGCTTCCACAGTTTAATTCTGTGGAGTTATCTAAAGTTGTAAAGCTGTCAAGAAAGCTATGGCAAACCAGCTGGTGATCCACCTGCAGGAATATGGGAAGAAATAGGGTAGACCAAACAAGTTACAATTCTGTCTCTTTCAATGAAGAGGGAGAAAATCTGTGACAAAGGTACTCGGAGAGCGAAGGAGTCCTTAGCATGTGAAAGTGGACTGAGTGGTGATACTCTTACTGGGTGGAAAGTGGATGTTGGTTCTCTGGGTAAGACCCTGGACTAGGAATTGCAACCATTTTCCCGCCCTGGCTTTGCCACAGATTTCCTTGGTAAACTAAGCAAGTAGTTAATGGCTTTGGCCTCAGTTTTTCTGTTCACAAAATGGGATTCTGACCCCTTCCTCCCAAGGGTCTGTGAGGTTAAATAAAAGGATGTTTATAAAGTGAGCTCATATTGTTTTTAAGGAAGAGGTGCAGTTTCAACATTTTCAAACAATATTCTCAGCAGAGAAAGAACCTTAGATATTATATTTACTTACACAGTGATGCTGTCGTACATATATGCTTTCTCTCAGTGGTAACATCCCACAGTAGTGGGAGGTTCTGTATAAGTCCTCTTTTCTGGGATGAGGAGAGGCCAGCGCTGGCTGCCACGGGCCACTGATACCCTCCAGCTGTGTGACACCCCCACATCAACTTCTGCTAGTCCACTGGGACACCCCAGGATGGTGTGAGCACCTCTTGGGGTGCACTCTTCCTTTGGTACATAGGTGAAGGTGTCTGTTCCTCTTATCTCACCCTAAGTGAACCTGGTTCCCCTTGTGTGCACACTGTAGGTGTTACCAAATGCTCTCTCTGTGTACATATACATCTTATGAAATGCTTTCAACCTCTCTCTTCACCACCACCCCCTCTTATTTTGGTGGATGTAGTTCAGCTGGTCCTTTTCAACCTTTTGTTGATAAGTGCCATTTTTGTGCTGCCTGTTGCTAAGTGTTTGGTGCTACTCAGTCTCACCCTTCCCCCCTCCTCTTTTGGCGGAGAAAAGACACAGCATATTTCCAGAATATATGCTCTAATTCCAGCGCTGAGACTACTGTACATCTGGTGCTCTCAGTCTCCTCTGTGCACATTACAGCACTCTGAACCATAGGCGAGGGGACAAACGACATGTCCCCGCGTGGCAGGACATGGTGATTACTGCAGAAAGTGTCGCAGAGGCATTGCCAGGCGTGGGATCGCCAGCGACAACCCGATGAACTCTTACCAAAACACAGGCGCACGTCTCTGCTATCACTTTCTCTTAGGCAGCCCCAGAGCGTGAAAGTTGGTGGTGGGGCATGCGTAGAGGTAGAAACACGGTGGGAGGTGGAATTGCGGTAGATGTGACTGATTTACGACAGGAGTTTCCTTTACAGTCATAAGGGGAATTTTGCTTGGTCACAGCAAGTTTGAACCCTCATGAAACAGCCTGAATCATTTGAAGTTAAAATAAAACAGAGAATGGCAGGGGGAGGGGCATGGCCCGTTTAAAAAAAAAAAAAAAAGGCAAAAAACACAACGTTAAAATTGTTTCCTTTGGTGCTGACTTCTTAAATGGGAATGTGATCCAGAATAGTTCTGCTGTGCAAGCCAACATTTGTTTTAAGAATTTTTATTGTCTTCTTTTCTCTCTTCCCCCTCTCCCCGCTGCCCTCCCCCTCTGCTCTGCAGATTTACACTGACTGGGCTAACCACTACCTAGCAAAATCTGGCCACAAGCGGTTGATCAAGGATTTGCAACAGGACATTGCAGATGGAGTTCTGCTAGCAGAAATCATCCAGATCATTGGTAAGACCAGGGCTGAGAGAAGCACTGCGAGCTGACTCCTTGCATGGGGGAATATATAATTCAAGTTGAATGTATTTAACAATAAGATGAACCCTGAATAATACAATTTGACTGGGTCCATATGTCTCTGATATTTGTGTGGTTCATCCTTGTCTTAATTAAAAAATATGTTTATGTGAGCATGTTTGGAAGTGGCTGTTTAACCATACTTTAAATGGCCAGAACTGTATCTTACACACTTTGAATTGTCAGAAATGAATGCTCCATTAAACCATATGTCTCCCATGTGTGCATTTTGTTAGTTGGAGCGGCTCATACTTTCTGGGATGCCTTGAAACTGTATCCTGACCCTGCAAAGACAATTGTGGAAGATTTCATGTCAGCAGTTATTTTGCAGGGGCTGAAGAATTAGCAGCGACCTCCTTCGCACTTCCCCCTTTGCATGATTTGGCATGTGGAAGCAACTGCTGCTAACAAGAGTGTTGTTACTGTACGACTGAGCTTTACTTAGAAAGGAGCTCTGTGTCAACAAAACCCTGTGCACTTTATTGCCGTGTCTTTTCTGCTCTTCTTCCTTCTGTTTTTTTGTTTTTTGTTTTGGTTTGGTATTTTAGGTCTTCTTTTTTTGTTTTTTTTTTTTGGCCAGGGGGTGGAAAGGAAAGTTTTATCTCATTGTTTACTTCTGCTTTTCTCTTCACTGTTTTTGTTTAGCAAATGAAAAAGTTGAAGATATCAATGGCTGTCCCCGGAGCCAGTCTCAAATGGTAAGAATAAAATATATTTTTAGTCTGTGTTGGCACCTCTGCACTTTCCTAAAATGCTTTTTAATAATGATTTATTTTAACTGTGAAAATTATGTCCCACGTTTACCATAAAGTCCTAATTCTCATATAGTGTTCCTGGTACTCTTTTTTCCACATGTGCTTACTGTTTGTCACTTCATTTCTGTGCTTGTTAACTTTGGGTCTTGAGGTAACCCAGCAGCAAAACTTCATCACTTCTAATTAATCCAGAACTGCCTTAGCAGACCTGTGCGTCTGATGATCCAGATAATTTCATTTAACTTGATTTTTAAGGGCAGTAAATCCAAGAATAGATTTTTAAGTGGAGTCTTTGTGTCTGGAAAACTGGTTTGATGAACAAAACTTGCCAAATTATTTTTGAATATAAATAGCCACTGTAAAGTCCAGTTAGATGCACTGACTCCAAGACTTTCAGAAATAGCACTTTAGTCATATAGCTCTCTGAGCTACAGCTGGCAGCTGCTTAAAAACATTTTAATACAGGCAAGAAGCATTTTGTGACTGTGATTCATATGGAGTCTTATTAATCTTTCATTGTGTTTATGGCTAGTCAACTACATTTAATAAGATAAAGCCTCCTTAGAAGGCTGTGGAAGTGACAGGTACAAAATCTGAGCCTCAGTAACATCACCATGCATTTACTGAATCATTTGCAGTTCCAGTCATGCTCCCTCACGCTGAGGACTTTGCCTTTCTGTTCACATCCAAATAGCATGTGAATAAGGTGCACAATTGTGTAGCTGGCAAGGATTTTGGAGCATAATGGTTTGGATGAGCTTGCATAATAGCAAACTGCTGAAGCTGGGCTTAAAAATGGAAATGGAGTAGAAAAAAATTTGCATTTATTCAGTGTATTTTTTAAAGGGGGAAGGTATTTGCAGCTTTTTTCTGCAAAGCTGCAAAAGGTAAAGGGAAAAATTCTGAGTACCAGTGAAGTGAATAAGCAGGTCTTTTGGTTCTTACTTTTCAAAAAATGTGCAGGTTTAGAATAAGTTTTTTCTCTGGCTTTCAGGCTTTTTGAAACAGTCCACAGTAAGAATATATGCAATTTCCTTAATAATAGTTATTATTTTAATTACTCATATTACAGCAGCACCTAGTGGCCCCGGCTGAGAAGGTTGGGAACTCCAGAGTGGAACTCTAATATTACACACACAGATTGAGAGATAATCACCCTCTACTTTAATCACATTAAAACCTGCCATTCCAGACAGACGAGACAAACAAGAAGAGACAAAAGCACAGAAAAATGATATGATTTCCTGAGATTATGTAACTGGTTAGTGACCATCTAGGACTGCTTAGGGACTCACCACTCTGGTGTCTATCGAGCTTCATTTCCATGAGAGAAAGCCCAGCTGCAGAGAGAATTGTTCACTCTAGCAACATTTTCATCTCCAAAGCGACATTTGTGTACATTCCCCGTTGACAGGTAAATCTTTATGTGGCATAGGGATTCTGGATTTCATCTCTAGCTCTGCTGCAGTTATGGGGGAAGCATGGTCAATGCATGCTCGTGCCGCAACAGTACCTGTAGAAATCTCTTTACGGCCATCTTCCTCCTCCTGTAAGCACATCTCTCAGCTCAGCCAGGCCGAAGACTATGTCTCAGGTACTCTGGGTCTCAAACCAGGTGCTTCAAACACTCCTGTACGTAGTCATACATCAGTGTTTGTGCAATGCTAAGGTGTCACATTTAGTCACTTTAACTTCATAGAAATAGAATATATTTTTTCATCCTTTTTTGATTTGGTCTCTTTACTGTATTGTTTTACCCCAACAGTCTGATCAGATTATTTTCCTGCCTTTTGACATACCCATTTCATACTGCTGATTTCTTCAACTGAGCTAGGAAATCAAAAATGTACTGAAGTTAAAGTAATTCAAACTTGTCAGCTTTCCTCTCAGAGCATCTCAGAGACCTCAGATTTTGAGTCTGCTCTCCATTTGTTTCCTTTGGGTTGTGCACTGATCTAGCCTAGCTGAAGACACCATCACATTTTCAGGTAATTTCTCTTGGCAGTGCTCAATTTTGTTAGCCCGCCCAGTTAATGATAGGCCAATTCCCTTCTTCTTTCATCAGTGGACTCTTGGGTGTTTGTAATGTGCAGAAAAAAATGTAACAGTGGTCAAAGCTAGTTTACATGTTTGACATGTGCCAGTATGTAGCAATATGTCCTGTCAGGATTTGTCAGAACATCAGCTATCAAACCAGCAACAGTCATGATATTCCTATAGCATGTTCATTAGCCATTCATTCACCACTTTCATTTTAACATTTTTAGTCAATAAACCTCAAGAATCCCACCACCCTTTTCTTTCACATATGTTTTCATGATCCTTGCTCTCATAACTGGCAATTAAGGAGAAATGTCTTCTGTATTCATCTGCCATTTGATACCCTTCCCAGGAGGGGGTGTTTAAGACATTTTATTAGCTTAAAAGAAGCTAGAGAGCACTGACATGGATTGTCTGCTGCTGGAAACCCTCGATATCCCCTGTAGATGATACTGCTATCAATTCATAATTAATCACTACCAATCTTCCCAAGTTCTGTTCCACTCACCATTGGTTTTCCTCTTGCCAATGGCTTCATCTTTCAAGTGATTTTTAAGGCATCTCAATTCAGCTGTTACCTTAATTCGTAAACATCTTTTAATGTTTATTTTAAATATGTATAAAATGCTTCTTTTTTAGTTTCCTTTTACCTAGGTCTATTGCAACGTCTTGCACTCTATGCTCATCTTGGCAGTGATACATGAAGTACTTGCAGACACGTTGAACTGGTTCCACAGGTCCATGTTCATAAAAATTAAAACCTGTGAACCCCAGCAGCATCCAGTTTCTGCAGAGTTAGCTTTACCAGGATCCTCGTGGCTGTCATTATGCTCACACATTTGATGTCGGACACAGAATTTGAGAACCTGAGATGTACTAGGGAATAAATTACTTCATATTCAAATCTCAGAAACTTTAAATAAATTAAACTTGCAAGAGAATTGGCAAGATTTCTTGTTTTCTGGGTAAATCTACTGTAGTAAAAAGATTTTGGCATTTCTTATGGATGGTTTTAATAAAGATAATAAAGATTTAAAACTCTGCATATTATAATATACGTTGTCTGTCTACAATGTAATATAGAGTCTTCTCCTTGCCTTGCCTATTTTTTTCTTCATACCTATGTATTCAAGGAGGAATACGGAACTGCAACTTTTTTTCATCATCTCTTTTAAGCCCTTCAATGGAAAAAATGCCACATTCATTTCTATCTATTTTCATTTCTATCTTTTCTTTGTATGAATTATTCCATAAGCCTATCAATTAAGGAAACCTGGAATCATCTTTCTTTTAGAAGATAATGGTCTTTCAAGGGCTTACCTTTTGATACAACCAAAAGCTAATTCCTTTCTGTTTCTTTATAGGCCATTTGTTTCTTTAATTTCAGTTGTAAGTTTCCCCCATCATTAGAAAAAGCAGGATAGTGTCCTGGGTAGAATACATGTTATGAAACCTTTCTCTAATGGTCTGATGAGGAAGAATTCAGAATTTTTTTTCTTCCTGAACATATTAAAAATGTACTGGAAGATCTCCAGTGTTTTGTTTCTAAACAGATCATATCAAACATATAGTAAGCATACAGAGTATCAAATTTAATCCATCCTGGGGCTGTTAGAGAAAATGCAAGAGAATCAAAAAGTGTTGGACTGAAAATCTTTTTTGGTGACATTTGCAGTATTGTCCCTAGAGAGTTTTACAAAACTAACGTTTCTATTCTTTCCTCATGCAGTCTACGGTGTTTTCAGCCACATAAATAGTGAAACAAATGTAAAAAATGCCAAAAAATTTTAGTATATTGTTTTTCAAGTTGATTTTTCCTTCAGAGATTCATGTTGTCTTATTAGCTGTTTTTCTTCCTTAGAATTAGCTCTTGCTACTTCCCATGAGAACCGTCTATGCCAGTACACTGTCACCCCATGGCTCTCAGTGGATCTTCACAGATTTCATGACTGGCTGCTATGGGAGTTGCGTGAAAATACAAGGGAATACGAGACTCTAGTTTTGTCAGCTGTGCAGGTTTGGTGTTCTTAAATGAATGGAGCACAAGACAGTAATCTAGTTCCTGTATTTCTGCGGTGCATGCTTGTGTACTTAGTTTTCAAAATTTGAGTAGCCTGTAGTGTGTTAATTGGAGTGTATGCATTTCCATGTAATTAGGTGTAAGAGAAGTAGAAGTATTTCACTCTAAAAAGGAAGAGTACCATTGGGCTTATCAGGTTTTCATTAAGTTTTTTAAGTTGGTTAAACTAGCTGCAGCATGGGATGGAACTACAGGCAAGGGATCAGTCATAAGCTGTTTCTTGGACATCTCCATAAATGCCATTAGTAACTTGTTAGGAATATAAAACAAGGAATAACTGGTCAGTGTTTACAAAAAGGCAGTCTATGATTCACATCCCCCAAGGATCAGTGCTTGTGGCTCATTCATTATAGTCACGAATGATCTGGAAAAAGGCATGAATAGTAAAATGACAAAATTTGCAAATAGTTACTCAGGGTAATGAAAACTAAATCTGATGGTGAAGCCACAGAAAGATCTTGCAATTCTGAATAAAAAGGTGTGTTGGACTCCTATTACCCTTTACCAGTGAGATGTTAACACATACGGATAGGGTTTTCTTGATGATGATCTAATCACCGTGTTTTGGGGAAGATCCTGTTTGCATAAGAGAGGATAAGACCTGAGAAAACAGCCTTAGTTGGTATAAATCTCTGTTTAAAAATGTAGTCAAAAGGAATGACTTCTCGCAATATGGGCAGGAAGACTCAAAAGCTCATTTTCCTGTCCTCTGGTAGGCAAAGGGTATCTGGGATTCGATAATGGAGTAGTCTTTAAAACGGAAAAAACGAAAGTACTTACAGAAAAGGATGAGAGTTTCACAGCATGATATCTAGGGAAGTGA